TTCTTCCTAAAAGTCTTTGAACCTCTGATCCTTTATAAGGCTCTCTCCCTTTCTTAACATGTCAAATGTGAGCCTTCCCAGACACCAGCTCTTCCTGCCATTCAGCCATAGTTAGGACTCATATAATACCCAGTCCTTCTCTGTCTCAAGTCTTTACTCTGTAAACAAGGAATGATTTACTATACTTCGTCCTCAACAGGAAGCGAGCTGGATAGCTCAAAATTAAGTCTATCTTGAATATAACTGCAGCTTCAGGTTTCTGCATTATACCACAACTTCCATGAAAGTGTTCTGACCAAGCTGGAGATGAAGCTCAGTGGTAGAGCCCTTACCTAGCATGGTCAAGGCCCAGTGCTCAAACCCCTGAACCAGGGAAAACAAACACACATGACAAAAATAATCTATTAACCAAATGATGAGCCAGTTCCTAATGGATATTTAGAAACAAACCAGTTTCTGACAATTTAGGATACAGACCACATTTTCATGTCACCTTAGACTAGGTTTAATAAGTGTATATAAATCAATCTATAAGCTGTATACTAGAAAAGGAGGGCTGATTCAAAAGAATGTTCTGGGCTGGTCAGGATTGCCTTCCATCAAAGCAATTCTCACAATGATTTTGCTTTAGAAGACAAACTATTTCTGCTTTTCTGAGGGAAATTTTCCTCAAGTGAAACTAGTCAATTCATTTCTTAAACTTTCAGAGTAGAACCGTAGGCTATTCTGCATAGATTTTTCTGACTCAGGATTTAAAGGCAGACCTACAAACTTGGAAGCTTCATTTATAAAATTTAAGAACCTACTGCATATTAGGAGATCTTGAAGGGCTTAAGAGATAGCTCAATGGTTGAGAGCACACTGCAATTGCAGAGGACCCAAGATCAGATTCCAGCACCAAAGTCAGATGGTTCACAATAAGCCTATGACTCCAGTCCCATGGGCGGTCTGATGCCTCTGGCCTCCATGTGTCTCCATATATACATGTGCTTACCCAGACACAGACATACATACACATAATTTAAAATATAAGCCTTAGTAAAAGAGATCTTGAGATTCAGAGTAACTTGGTTTTGCTTAAAAGCAGAATCTATCTAATTAGAAAAGCCCATTTCTTCTTCCTGTTCTCTCGTGCTTTCCTTTCATCTATTTTCTGTCATGCATGTTGAAATTAATTCCATTAACTTAATGGGGGTGGATTTACAGTTGAACTTTGTAAGCTGAACTACAGTTCCCAGAATTCCTTCCGTGAGTCAGCCTGGCTGCATGATGTTTAACAAGTAAGGAGCAGAACCTTTTCTACCAGAAGGGAAGGTGCCGAGCACCAGGTAGTGGTGGAGATCACCTGCTGGCTCACTTTGTTATTGTAGGACAGCATCCCGGACTTAAGCTCTCCTGACTTACACTGGACCCTCCTTCTGCTTCCCTAAGTCTTAGGCCAGGCACACACACAGTGCCATGAGGAAAGGCATTTTTTTTTTTAATTCACCGAAGTAGATTTAGAATGATAGGAGGCTATTTTGGGTACCACTCCTTTTGCATCCATCATTCCATCCTCCCGGCATTTCCCTGCTGATGTCAGCTCTACCATCTGACACCAAGACAGCAGCCTTTAGTGCAGACCACTGAATCACCTCTCCCAACCCCAGAAGGCCAGATGTCTATACTCAATTTCCAGCACTCTCGCTTGTAGAACTTCTCCTTCTCTAGTTGGTCTATAATCAATGACGTTCTAAAGAATTTTCTAGCACATTGGCAAATCTTGGGCTAGATATAGTTCTCAGAAAGTTGGTATAGCCTTGAGTACAGAAAGAAAATCAACATTCCAACCTTTAAAACTGGGGTGATTTTGGTATACGGGTCAATTCTAACTTCTTTTGAAACCTGACTTGGAGTGCAGCATTGTGGTGGTTTTAAGATGATGGATTCAAGAACTACAGAAGTGTGGGAATCCAGGGAGGCAATCTGAGCAGTGAAGCCAGCTCTAGCTTCACAGACTTTACTCAAGTGCATGAATGCACCGTCATTCTCTTGGCCTTGTTTCTCATAGGAACAATACATAACTCAAGCCCATAGAAGGGGTGTGTCTGAGAAGAGAAATCACCAATGACACATGACCTCAAAATGCCAAGTTCTCAGTGTACAGAGAAATAGAATCGAACCCCTCTTCTCTTTCCCACCCCAACACCTCCGCCCAAACAGTACAAGAAGCATTACCTGCCTTGACTCTCAGCCTTGCTTGGTAACTTCAAACCAGTTCTTGCTCTAGTTTGTAGCCTTAATTCATATTCCCCAGGCTAGCCTAACATCTCAAGCAAAGAAATTAACACCCTGTGGGCTAAAACTGAGGGGTAGCATCAGCGGTAAGTGGAAATGGATGTATCCTCTCTACAGGAAATTACCTTAAGTGCAGGTCTCAAAGAATTTCTTCACATAAAAACCCAAGAGATATAAACTCACAATCAACGAGGGCAAAAAACTCAGAAGCAAGAGCCTGTGAACTAGAGAGCAAGGGGAGACTTTTATGCCCACAGAGACTTCAGGGATGGGAATTAGCACACAAAAGAATACAAAATAGGCAGGCATGCCAGACATAAAAAGTCAGAAGGTACAAAGCAAAGGAATATATAAAAACTAATAAATCATGAAATGAATGAAACAAAATTTCTATAAATGAAGATATAAAGCAAAACCCCAATCAATATGAGGAGAAATAAAGGTAAAGATAAGTCAATATGAAGATATACTTAAAGAATTGTTTAGAAAGCAGAGACAGAACATCAGAATGAAGCTGTCGGATCTGGATCAGAGGGAGGACAAACATGAATGGGAACAGAGCAGAAATAATTTTCAAACACGGATCCACTGAGAGGTGTCCGAAAGTATGGAGAGACATGAATTTAGAGTTTACAGAAGTTCGATTAGGTAAAATCAAATTAAATCTACCTGTAGGGGTTCAGGAGATGACCTGGTAAAGTGCTGGCCATGCAAGCCTGAGGACCTTGATTCAGACCCACAGCACCCAAAAAAAGCCAAGGTGTAGTGACGCACACCTGGAATCCCAGCACTGGGGAGGCAGGGACCAGAGGAGGAGCCCTAAAGACTTGCTGGCCGGACAGTCAATCCAAATTGTTGAGCTCTGAACCTGAGACTCTGTCTCAAAAACTAAGGTAGAGAGCCACTGAGAAAGACATCTGACATGGACCTCTGGCCTCCACAGCCATACTGCAGACCAAAGATAGGAAGCAAAAGATAAAGAATCTCACAGTTAAGAATATAAGTTTGAGTGTTATGCCTGCATGTGTGTAAGTGCACCCATGTCATGCAATATCCGTGGGGGACAGAAGAGGGTGTTGGATCCCCTGGAACTGGAGTTATGGATGGTTGTTAGTCACCACATGGGTGCTGGGATTTGAACCCAGATATTCTGTAAGAACAACCAGTTCTCTTAACCGCTCAACCACCTCTCCATCTGTCAGGTGGCTTTTAGTGACAAAAAATGAGTGTAGAAGATCCTCTGCCTATTGGTTTATTACACAAAACATTTTCTGTTGTGAGACTGTCAGTTCAAAATCAATAAATAATATGTCATAAACACATCTAGAGATCTATTGTGTGAAATCTCTTATTTTTAAAAAGTACAGAATCAAAGTAACTTTTTATAAGACTCATTGGCTAGAGGAGCAATAACTACAATTTAAAAACAATGCTTTGGGGTATTGTTCACATGTATATGAATGCATATATTTGAGAAAGGTAGGAATTAAATAAAACAGCTATTTTAAAAGTTAAAACAACTGGTGAATTAGTCAAATTTATTTGGAATGAAAAGATGAGGAATTTATGAACAAGAAATGAAGATAACAGAGAGAGGGCTAATGAAAGCAATGTTAGGTCGGTGAAATTTAAAACTCTCGTAGGGTGAAAGAAGACATGATCACCAGTGCAGGGTCAGTTAAATTACAAAAACTTTGCCAACTCCAATCTTTAGGTGAAATGGAAAAACACCAAGAAACCACCCTGAGAAGAATCATAAAACCATATGAAGCAGTAATCGTTTTTAATAAAAATAAGATGCTACTGATATGGTAAATCCATGTGGAAAAATGTTAAATTATTGAACTGTGTCAAAGAAAGCCTAACTAGAGAGATACATTGATCATAGGTGGAACTTAAGCCCAATCAAAGCTCTTGTGCCAAGGACATGGCTCAGTGGGTTAAAGTGCCTGCTCCCAAACCTGGCATGACAACCTGAGTTTGATCCCTAGGACCCACATGATAGAAGAAGAGAACCAACTCAGGCAAGTTGTCCTATGACCTCCACGCATGCAACATAGTATATGCATGAGCCTCCAAATGTGAACATTCCCCCCACACAAATATTTTTAAAAGTGCTCCATGTTTCCTTGTAAAACTTAAATTCAAAATTATATGAAAAAACCAAGATTACCTAAGAAATTTTTCAAAAAGAGAAGGGTTAGAAGTTCTGTCCTGTCAAGAATACAGAACTATAAACCTTTAAATAAGTTGAAATAATTTAAGTAATTTTCATGGATGGAAAAATAATATCATGAAACAGACTACAGAGCCCCAAAACATAGGGATATGGATGGCTTTGGAAATACTCATGAGGGTTTTTTGACATGAGACATATTCATAACAACCTGCATCGGAGAAACCCTGCCCTTGGGCCATGTACAAAAATCAGTAACTAATGGGTTATAGACATAGTGAAAAAAACAAATATATAACTTATGAAGACAGTCTAAAAGGTCATGATCTCACTGTAGGGAAGAATGCTCTTAGACACACAAAACAAACCCTACAAAGGAAAAGATAACTCATCTACACTAACCAACCCTGAAAGATGCAGTGCTGTTCATACAAAGAAGCTAAATAGAGAACAAAAAGGCGAACCACAAAGGAAAAGAAGGAATTATCAGTATTTAGAACTGCTTTTTCAACATGTGCATTTCATAAATCACATCAAGAAAATTAGAATACTTACCCGTCAGGTAAGATACCATAATCACAACGGTGTTTTTTTCCAGGGTGAGGCTTATCCATTGCACTCCAGATGTGCTGACCGCTGTGATTTTCCCAAATGTGGGAAACTCAACTGCACTATTTGGGGGGGGGGGGCTGTGTTTGCGCTCTCCCCTGGGGGCGGAAAATTAGAAGTAAAAAATTAAAATGAAGTGGTATAAATGATGCTTAATTCCTTTGCTAATTAAGGAAATTCAGTTTTAAAAGACAATATCATTCTATTCCTCGCTCATTTCACAAGTAACACCATCAAACGTTAGCATGAGAAAAGGAGCAGCTGCAGCTCCACATGTCACTAGGGCGAAAGTTGGTTTCAGCAACCATTTTGGAAAGCTACTTTTTATGTTCTTATAATATTGCAGCCATGCCTTGCCAGAACTAGCCAGACTACTCTATGTTTACGAGAGAGTTCTGCATATGTGCACCAGGAGCCATGCATAGGAATGTGAATAGATTATTTGTAGAAACAGAAACCTGGAACCAGATGTGTAACACAGCAATGCATAAATAAGTCACAAAATACGATGACACCAGGGTAGGAGAATATGAAAGAACCTTGTGCAGGAATGCACATGAATGTCAGGATCATACTGTAGAGGGGGAAATGGGATCACTGCTGCACAAACAAGGGGAGTTATTCTTAGTAGAAAGCTAAACACGTGCAGAAAAATACAATGTATCAAGTAGGCAAATGTGTAGCTGTGAAGAAAAGCAATTGAACAATAAACACAAATTCCTAATAGTACTTATTACTGTAAGTAGAGTTATTCTTTATATAAAGCTAAAAACACGTAGAAGTAGGCAACATATTAAGGAGGTAAATGCGCAGTCATAAAGAAAATCAAGGGGGCCAGAGCAATGGCTCAGCGGTTAGGAACACTGGCTGCTCTTGCAGAAGACCAGGGTTCGATTCCTAGCACCCACATGGCACCTGACAACCGGCTGTAACTTCAGCTCCAGGGGACCCGACGCCCTCTTCTGACCTCTGCAGGCATTGAACAACATGGGTGCACCTACCTACATGCAGTTATTACACTAACACACATAAAATAAAAATAAGAATTAAAAAAAAGAAAATCAAGAATAAACACAAAAGTCCTATTAGAATTTATTACTGAACAGGTACAAAATCAAGATGATGATACTGGGTGCTACAAAGGTAAGAATTTCCCCGTTTTTTGGTTGTTGGTGGTGGTGGTGGGTTTTTTTTTTTTTTTTTTTTTCTCAAAACAGTGAGTGTAATAAAGGCCCCTTGCACTGCAAATCTTTATGCCACCCTTACATTTTTAATAAGTATTTTGCATGTATTTGTGGACTCTAATGTGTCTAAAGAATCCTGAGTAGCATTTAAAAGACGAGAGAGGGCGCTGACTGCACAGCATCCCCATCAGGTCCCTCACATCCAAGCCAGCATTGCTGCTGTGCTGGGACTTCCGTTTTACCTACAACTTTCTTGAGGGTCACTCAGTAGTATCACCTAGTCTCTGTGGGCACCTGAGTTTATGATCCTGTGCCAACCCTTCTCAAATGCACCCCTGAACCAACACACATGTTGGTACCTCCCCCCTGATCCTACTGAATCAGTTACTGGGATCTGCATTTTCACAAGTTCTCTCAATGCTGTGAAAGCACCCACTTGAGAATTGCTCCTCTTAGGACCTGGACAAGCCCCTGACCATTCCCTTCCTGGCTACATCTTTTTCTTAGAGGGTTGGACTTCTTTTTAATGGAAGCAACATTGATTTCCAAGAACCAGCTGAGTTCTTAACTTCTCCCTATCAGCAAGATGGATTCCTCCATTTTTCCTTGTTCGATGCCATGTAAGCAACTGTGTTGTAGTCATTGATCTATGGCCAGAACTGGATGGACATCGCTTCAGGAGTGCTTAGACCTCTGCAGCTCCCAAGGGCTCCTGGTGAAAGATGAGGATGTGAGCTAACTGTAGTGAGTCAGCCCGAACATCGAAGGCCACTGGAGGAGTGGTGAGGTAGAGCCACAGGAGATGCTCCCAGGAGATGTTCCCACCTGGTTGTATGTGGCCCTTCACAGCAGGACAGTTGAAGAACAGCTCTCCTTTTTTTAAACTGAATTTTTGTGAACTTCATACAATATATTTTGATCATATTAAGGCACCCTGCCCTATCTGCACCTCTCTCCTAACACTGTCTCCCCACCAGATTTCATGTACTGTCACAGATGTTAAGACCTACTGAGCCTAGTTCATATTTCCAAATGCCCTTTGGTGTGAGTCCATCCACGGGAGCCTGGGTAACCCATGTAGCTTCACACCCTTAAGGAAAATCAACTTGTCCTCTCCCACTAATTATCGGTTGCCAGTAGTTCCTCAGCTGAGGTTAGGGCTTCTTCCCCACGTCCCCATGCCTACACTGGCTTTTGTTGAGCTTGGGCTTGCATGGGTCTTGTTCATGCTGTCCCCATTGCTGTGAGTTCATATGAGTAGCTCCCAGGCTGGGGTTGGTAAGGCAGCAGACATATGTTTTAATTTATAGTTATGAGAATTTCAAACATACACATAATGAAATGTCATATCTACCCCCCACTTTCCCCCCCAATATGTACCCCTCCCACCTTCATTTTTTTTTCGAATAACCTACCAAGTCCATTTGGTGCAGCCCATATGTACATGGGTATGGGGTCATCTACTGGAGTATGGGAAACTCACCCATGGTAACATCCTCAGAAGAAAAGGATTCTCCCACCCCCAGCAACTACCAACCACCCATAGCTCCTCGGTAAGGGGTGGAGCGTGGAGAGCATCTATGCCATCTATCCCAGGAATTTGGCATTAGTCATTTTTCAGTCCATACAGACTCATACCAAATTCTTTTAAGTCTGGATAAGCATATGGAGTCAAATCATTTCTAAGGAGCTTAGAAAAGCTTTCATATGGAAGAGAATATGGCCAGTACTTTAGGGAGATGTAGGTGTGTGTGAAGTATGTCAAGGAAAAGAAAAATCTGAGACATGAGTAGGGAAGATACAGCAGTGCAGGTTGGACCTGACCTAGTCCACTGAAGAGGGAGAAATGAGTTAAAGGATGAGTTATCTGGTAAAACAGAGAAGGAAGCAGGGATGGAGGAAGGAGGAAATCTGGGAAATCTGGAAGACGGCAGCGTCATTGCCGAGCTGAGCCGACAGCAGTGTTAGGACAGCATATGCATGCTGTACGGACAAAGCATCAACATTAGTAGAAACAGGTGTTAGGAAAGTCATGCTAATCTGCCTATACCAGACAGACTCTATAGGAGAGAAAGAAATACAAACAGTCCCATACTCTCTTCCTGTTTCAAAAATAAGAAGAGATCAGGACCATGACACAAGCTCATGGATTAGATGGAAGTCTAGGCTTGACGGCCCTTCCTGGGCATCATTTCCTTCCTGCCTCTGCAGTAACAAAACTCCCTCCACATTACACCAAGGTTAATTCTCACAGATGAGAAAAGCCCAATGCAGATGTAGCAAGCCATGTAACAGGGTGAACCACTCCCAACTGGGCACCTCGGTGAGGGTCTTTTGAGGAGAAGGTGGATTAGGGGGATTGTTGTCACAGAGCAGTAAGTTCAGGAAGAGAAAGCTAAGACAGAGTCTTCTGTATTTAGGACTGTAATAGACCTGTTGATTCTCTTTGTGGCTCCATTTCACTTTACATGGGAAAACACTGAGGAAAAGGCTGCTGCCCAGAACCAGCTGAGAACAGACAGAAAAGGGTGGAGAACCCTCCGTTCCACACCTGGGTAACAAGGCAGGATTGCTCAGTGGTGGTGTCTCACTGGCCAGCATGCCCTTATAGCCATGTCCTGGGGCACTCGAGGGATTGCCTTGCCTGGAATGGAACAATGGAGTAGAAAGGTCAGAAGATAGTGCAGAGGAATGGCATTCCTTTTCAACATGGTCAAAGTGTACGACACCTACAAACAGTAGCTCAGGAAAGTGGTCTGATTTGAGGGTAATTGGAAAGCCGTCGCTGCGCTGAGGTTCTGCTCCTTTACTGAGATGCTTTCTCTGTAACAAAGAGGGTCTTTGTGCATCCCCTCTGATAATACTGTTAAGATCCAGAATATTCATCATGGGGATTGTTGAGCTCTCCTTGATACAAAGTTAGGCAAAACACTTTTAAAGAGTATGAGCCTCTGGTTTGTTACCATAATTATCTTAGAACAAGATTGATTTTCTTACATTCATTAAAACTGACTCATCTGTGCATTTTTACAAATGCATGAAAATATGCAATCACTACTGCACTGCAGTGAACACAGATATCAGAGTCCCACCATCTAAAACATCCCCTCATAGTGTTGTCCCAACTAGTTCCCCTCCCCAGGCCCTAGCAACCACTGGTCTGTTTTAAATCTGTATCACATGGCGGTGTGAATAAGTGTCCCCTATAGGTTCCAGGTATTTGACTATGTGGTGCCAGTTTGTGGCACTGTTTTAGGGAGTTTGAGAGGTATGGCCTTGCAAGAGGAAACGTCACTGGGGGCACCTTTGCACTCTCTCTGCTTCCTGTGAGTGCTCAGCTTTCTGCTCCAGTAGCCTCCTGCCATGCCTCCTTACCATGATGGACTCATCCCTCTGGAACTGTAAGCCCAATAAACTCTTCTTTCTATAAGCTGCCTTGGCCATGATGTTTTATAACAGCAACAGAAAAGTGACCAATACGCCTGGTAAGGGTGATGTGATCACAGTAATATTGTTTGTACACGTTAAGCATCCCTAATCTGAAAAACACTCAAATGCTCCAGACTCCCCAAATGTTTTAATGCCACTACAAAGCCAGGTTTTGGAGCATTTGGGCTTTTCAGCTATGAGATGGTCAATGAGTAAAGTCTACTTAAACATTCCAAAGTTTAGAAAATTCTGAAACATGAAGCACACTTTGTTTCTAAGATTTTTCAAATAAGTAATGTTCAGTCCATAATAGTAATATTTAACACATATTCACATTCCTAATTCATTAGTAACTACTTGAATCACTTTGTAGATGAGACACGTGAGGCTTTGGGAAACTTTAGGAAGGTAAAGAAGAAAGACTTGACCATGAAGGGGGCCACTCCATGGCTTGACTGCACAGTTGTCTCACTCTTCATTATCTGTATGTTGGGGAGGGAGCATATATACACATGTATGCCGGTGCCTAAAGAGGAAAGGAGGGGATGTCAGAGTCCCTGGAGCTGGAGTTACAGGCATTTGTGAGCTGCCCAATGTGGGTGCTGGGAACCAAACTCAAGTGCTCTGCACTCTTAACTACTGAGCATTCTTTCAGTCTCCTTAGAACAATTGTCTTACCTTTTATCTGATTGCACCTCCGTAAGATACATACAGTAAGACAACGTGGAAATAATGCCTAATAGTTCTAGAAAGCTAGGATTTAGGAGCCTCTTAGTCTTAAAAACAATCATCAGTTAAAGATAAAATGAAGCCACAATTCTAGAATGACTTTCTTAGAACCTTTGTGAAATACAATGAAGATAAAACGTCAAGCCCTCTTATAGACCTGACCAAGTTTTTCAGTGCAATACTGTAATGCTATTTCAATGGCCCGAGCAGCAGCTTCTTAAATTTCCTACGGAGGGAATAGGATCTTTAACACTTGGCTTGTGTTTTAGGTTGGAGTCCCCCACCCGATCTCTGGTGATGGAAGCCCCGAAAGGAGTAGAAATCAATGCAGAAGCTGGTAACATGGAAGCCACCTGCAGAACCGAACTGAGACTGGAGTCCAAAGATGGAGAGGTAAGGGGTGGGAAGGAGAGAAAGCCAGAGTCCACGGGTCCAACAGGCTGGCCTTCCCCCAGGACAGTTTGCATTGAGATTGTTCTGACAATGTATCAACCCAAGGAGCCTAGAAGAAGGTTTTGTTTTCTGGTACAAGTAGTTGAACAGCATGATTATAAGACAAGCCCACAATACACAAAAGTTAGGATTCATTATTTGTGAATTACTAGGATAATGCTGTGTATCCCAAGTGCAGAATTACTTGCCCATGAAAAGAAATGTGATTTCCATATTCTCTTTCCTGTCATCTTAAAATAAGATTGGGTTCACCAGTATTACCAAGCTATAGATCACGGCCATCTGCCTAAAAGGGAACTTAATTCACTTGTAGTTATTTCCTGTTGTATGTTGGGGTTTTCTTTGATGGTGAGTCAGATACAGCAGCCATCCCAAATCACAGCAAGCCAGAACCTAGTAGAGTCAAAGTGGATAGCCAGAAATGTGGAACGCTATAGATAATCTCTTACCCCACAATCCCAGGCAGATGAACACAAATGCTGCTTGTGTTTTTATAGACAAGTTAGGTTAAGCCCCTCCCAACAGCAGAAGTTATGACTTGACTGTAGACTTTGAAGACGTTCTTTTACAGTATTCGTAGGTGAACACTTTTAAGAATAGAAATAAGAAGAAAACCTGAGGGTTTTTTTTTTCCTTAAAGGTCAACCACTAGTCCACCTTGCCTGTCTCCTTAAAGGATATCTGAGCCTCCTTCCCTTATTATATTCTACTCAGTAGATATTTCTTTAAAAACTGTTTGGATCAGTTTGACATTTGCTTTTTCATTTTAAAAGAATTTGTCTGATGGAGCCTTCCATTATCACAACTGCCTCTCCAAACAGTCACTTGCATAAAAACACAACTACCTCATAGAGGCATCTCAGAGCCCTTTAGACTTGACCTATGGAAGAGCTGGTTATAATCATAAACCCAATGACACCGTCCACCACTGCCTATTTTTTATAGTCAGACATTTCTCAGAGTATGTGCTGCTGAATATCGGTGCTATGCGTAAGAGAAGGAAAGGGGAAGGAGGACTTACTAGTCTTTTAAAACATTGAAGATGCTGTGTACTTTACTGTCTTGTTGAAGCCTTGTCTAGCTTATGGATGTGCAATGTATCATGGTACTGAAAATGGTTTAGTGTGCCATTTCCACATTTATTTGACACTTGGGCACTCTTCATATTTTGTACATCATGCTTCTGAAAATTGCTAATATCAACCAATGCAGCATAACCTTCGCGGAATATACACTTCTGTGAATTTAGAAACTGTCTTATGTCCACTGCAAACATTGTTCAGCACACAGTTGGTGCTTTGAGGTTTAAATTGAATGGAATATCCATCTGTCTCTGAATGTCGGAACACAGCCTCTAACTGACTCTGTCTTTCCTATTCAATCTCTCTGACTCTGTCTTTCCTATTCAATCTCTCTAGATTAAGTTAGACGCTGCAAAAATCAAACTACCTAGACTTCCTCGTGGATCCTACACACCCACAGGAACAAGGCAGAAGGTCTTCGAGGTCTGCGTCTGCGCCAATGGGAGATTATTCCTGTCCCAGGCGGGAACTGGTTCTACTTGTCAGATAAACACAAGTGTCTGCCTTTGAAAGACTCCCCATCATGGACACTGTCGGCAGCATAAAGGCCCTTTTTGGCTTGAGACACTGGCTGCCAGCAATTTTTACTAGAACACAGAAAGCCTATCAAAGACCTTTTGTGTGTATGTGTGTGTGTGAGTATGTTTGTGTGTATGAGTGGATATAAATATATATAAATATATATAAATAAATATATATATCCTCTGTATAAAATGAGGTTTCAGTACAAAAGGAACCATGGGTGACCCTGTGACATCATCCACTGACATTTTTCACCCCATCCCCAATACCCACCTACGTGACAGATTCTAAGCACTCATTTGGGCTCAGCATTCCCCAGACAGTTCCAAATCACACCGTAGATTGAACACTTACATGATATCCATGGACATGTTCAAGTCATAGCCTATTTTCTCCCTCAGTGTCATTAGAGGCAGCGATGGCGGGAATCTCCAAGTCACTCTCAATTGCTAAGTTATAAACACATACCACACCTGCAAGTCCAGCACCAGGGAAGCTGTGCTGATTGTGGCCAGCCTGGGCTACATACCTTGTCTTAACAACAAACAAAGACATTCGGTTTCTCTTTCATAGCTTTGGTCTGGTGGGCCAGCTTTTTCCATTTATGGTATGGGTGGGATAAGCCCATGGAAATTAGCCACAGAAATTCAAAATGGCCACCCTCCCTTTGTAGACAATGTACTAGGGTTTCTGTGATTGAAGGTGAATTCTAAAAGAATTTCATCCACTCAACCAACTTCTCCTTAACCGTCTTCCTCTAAACTCACACATTCTCCCAGTCAAAGTGAGAGATGCAAATCAGCACAGAATAGTATACCAGCTGCTCCACTGGCTAGAAGCTACTCACTTAGTGGCCTGACAGACAAACACATGGTTGAAATGTCTCTGGTTAAAGGAAAAAGGGTTCTGCAGCTTTTAGGTTCTCAGTTTTGACTTCATCCAACAGACTGACCCAAAAGTCAACCCAAATCCCTAAAAGTGAGCCCCACACCCCAGTAGAAGTTATTATAGGAGGGAAATCTAATTAACAGTACCCCAGGGAATCTAACTGATTTTCATGTTTCTTGGGAAGGTAGGCCCTTTAGAAACATGTCATATTTTTAGTGGCATGCGCACCCTCTCCTGGTTTGCTGTTCTTGTACTCTGTTTTTCAGTCCTAGGGTGTTTATATCCCTAAACCCATTATCAAGTTTTCTCCAGGAATCACAGTTAAAAACTCTCTGTGCTGACAGAATTACTCACTGAAAATTAAAGAAGCAGCATTGCATGTCTTTATCAGAATCACTATCCCCTGGGGTTCAGTGACACCCACTCCCCATGTGTGGAAATGGCTGTCCAGTTCCCGCCATCAGCTACCTCTTTTCACCCCACCTTCATTGCCATGCTCCAGGGTCACCCTGGCCAGCTCTTGTGCTGGGACAGGGGATTACACCATCTCTGTTCAAAGAGGGGGAAACGTGCCTATGCCTTAAGTCAATGCACTCAGCAAGGAGAAGCACATCCTATTTATCTTGTTACCTGTAGTCTATTTTTGGTGATTGGAGGGGAATGGTTTAGTCACAACTGGGCATCAGAAGCTGGTAGACAAACCAAATGATTTCCACCCATGGACTCTGAGGAGCCTGGTATGGAGGTATAACTGGCTTAGACTGTCCTCCATGCCATCAGACAAGCCGCGACCCGACAATCCTACATGAAGTCCTATTTGTAGGCCTAAATGGCGTTTGTATTTGTTTTGTTTAGTCTCCTCCATAAGGTCCTAAATTTTCATACTTCACAAGCAGAAGGTTCTGTTGTAGGAGATGAAAACAAAAGGTCTGACATCTCTGAGGTGACACGCAAGCATCAGGCTGGAGTCTGCACATGCAGAATGCGCAGCTCAGTTATGTATTACCATGGAGAGGGGGCTGTCCTGGCCTCACCAGCAACTGCTGGCTTCTAGGACAGGACAACCAGAGCCTGTCTCATATAGAGAGGCACTGGATAGGACAATTTTAGGGCAAGACTTAAGATTGCTCAGTTTTTAGTACAGAAGCCTAAAAGGGATGTTTCAGGAGGTCTCAGATTGCCAGAGATCAATATTCCCAATATCCTGTAGAGCCTTACTGACAGAATCTGTGTGTGCAGCACATGGGGTTTATTTACAAGTCATGAAAAGCCCCTCTGAGCTATTAGAAGCACTTACGCCGTATCATTCAGATAAATAATAACTCTATGATCCTTTGTGGCTAAATATATAAAGAAGACAGGGTTTGATTTCAGTTTGGTTTTTGGAGGGGGGTGTTTTATTTGTTGCTTTTTAAGCAGACAGACTGCCTTTGCACTTTGCCATCCCACATCCATCGTCAGTGGATGACAAGGAAAAACAGAATATGCCATGAACCTCTTTATTCTGATTTTGTTTCCAATTATGACATAAAAGTTATACCCCTTGGGAATTTTATGATAATTAAAAAAGATAAAAAGGAAAAAGAAAAAAATGCTATGGTCCCACCACATGCAAAATTGAATTCTGTGGGTAATCAGATCAGATAACGTACAGAATAAAAAGAATAGCAATCAGGAATACAAATCAAGAACCTCTGGAGGAATACATGATACAATATTCTGTCTGGTTGCATTGCTGTTATGGGCCATGGTACATAAAGCAATCATCAGGATCTCTGGCATGACTGAAATTCCATATTTACATTCAGAAAATGCATCTAAGTTCACTAATGAGCTTTTTTCTCCTCCTTCCCAATGCTCTCCAACTAGAATACTTGTCCATGGCCATGAGAAAAACTTTTACCTGAATTCTGGAAAAAAAAAGGGGGGGGTTACATTAAAGTTTGCTAACCCCTAATTTTTTTTAAAAAATGAGATTCTTTCTAATATTTCTATATAATATCTTCTAGACAATCATACTTTTGGGGGTATCTTAGGCATCTCGTGGTATGACAGAATTCAAATCAATCTCTAGTATACTAAAGTCCTGGTAGGAAAATATTCTTCAGAAAAAAAAAATTATTAATCAAAATTTGATCTCCAAATATATGTAATCATTTAGTTCTATTTGATATTTATTCTCAACAAGTCATGAGAGTTCCCTTTGGAGGAACTCCCTGAATACGGCAGAGGGTTTTGCAAAGCTCTGTGATGGCGTCTACCTCGGTGGATTTGGCGTGTAGCTTCATGACTGCCATGTGACTAAAGGACAGAGCTTATAAACTAGAATGGTTTTTAGCTTTCTTCTGGTTGTTTTATCTTTGGATAAATGCTATTGTACATCCAGAAAACATAGACCAAAGATTGCTTGAGGGTTGGCCCTACAGCAAAGGTCACTAAAGGAAGAACTGGAGACCAAACCAGACTGCGCAACCACATACTTCTATTTACATTCTGTCTATAAATAACGTTACTCCCTAGACCAGGTTTGATGGTATCAGCAGTAAAATAGGGTTATGACTACATAGCCCTTTACAGAGAAAGTCTGCTGAGCCCTGAGCTAGAGTCACCTATGGAGTGTGTTAGACATATCAGAAGCAAGATTTTTCGGCAACAGGGTGTGGCCTACATTTCCTTGGGACTTGGGAATACAGAAGGAAGGCCTTCCTTACACCACATAAAGAAGGACCTACTGTCAGAAAAACCAGATCAGAGGATCTGGAGTGACAGAAAAAGGAACTAAGGGAAGCTTAGTGGGGGAAAAAAAAAAAAAGGTTGTGGTCCTCCTGGACATTTTTCTGAGGACCCTTAATAGATAGGTGGTCCTCAGGTTAGCAATGTGTGTCAAGAAGTGATGCAACGAGAGGGATTTAAACTCAGAATTTCTTTCCTGAAATTACACCCATACAGAGACTTCCACTGATCTTCCCAGTACCAGAAATACTCCCTTCTCAAGGTCCTCTAGAGAACACTTTTGACCTTACATGACCTTAGTTGTCCATCCCTGCAGTGTACCTGCTCTTCCTCCAGCCACCGGGGTGGTTGGACCCCCAAATAATTCCAAGTATGTGCAACAGCAGCATCTTAGTATATGTAGAAGGAAAGGATTCATATGGAGCCATTTCTGGGAATGACCACATGAATGTCCATTTACTTTTGTTTCCAGGAATTTGGGGCTTTTCCTTGTTCCTTGGAGTGGAGGGACAACAGAAAACGGTACTTTTCAGAGTCACGTTTCTGCTTCTGTGTGGAAAGATAGGCCCTTCCAGAGATAGGGCTTTTGTGTTGATGGTAGCCACATAATCACCATTGTTAACACAGCATCAGTCATAAATGACCCTTTGTCATTGTGATTATTCACCTTGGAGAGGAAGGATACATTTTAAGGAGAATGATCACCAGTTTTGCTCCTTAATCAACATCATTCCAGGGAGTCCCTCTGCCTCTCCTGTGAATAATTCTTAAAGAAGATCAAATTGTCAGAGGAATGAAAGTACTTTTGGTTTTATATTTTTGAGGCAAAAGGTAGCATAATACATGGACCAAAAGGGTGAATCAATCCATTTTTAAGCACCTGATCCTTTTCTTAAAATTCTAGGGAAGATGAAAAATCTCATTTACGTTAGTTGTAAATAAGATCAGTTCTCCCTCACGTCCTCTGCCCCAGGAACTCTTAGATACAAAGAGTATCTAAGAATGGAAAATTTGCACAGTCCGCCAGTAGCAGGCAGGTGGGGAAACAGTTACACTAAAAGAAACCTTAGAAAACAAGCCTTTTACCTCAAAGATACAGTGTCTCTCTTGCAGTGGTTCATGGTGGAAGGCTTCCTGGTTCCAATGTCTTTTCCATTAAAACAGCCCAAGCTACTGCATTGGGATGTCAGTTGCATCTCTTTCTCTGAAGTAGTCAGAATTTAAAACTACACACTTGCCTCAGAATTTCTCATGCGCAAAAACCAAACCACTCATAAAAGATAAAGCAGTCACAAGCCGGCTGCTCTGGCCAGCACCGTACACCACACATGAGCACTTTGGAAAGCAATGTGATTTCTATGGGTCTTAAAAACCTTTCTCATACTGGAGTCCTTGAAATTTCTCAAGGCAGGTCTGAAAGGCAAAGGGAAAATACTTACTTGTGGGAGGTCCTCTTCCTGAGTATTGTTAGAGCCCAAGTGTAAAGGCAAATCCCCTTGGGGACATCCATTCCCACACAGGATATCTGGTTCTCCCCTCATTTTGGTTTTGCAAAAATGGATAGGGTACAAAATCAGCATCTTCCTTTGAGGGAGAACCAGAATGTCATGAGCCTTTAATATCATAACACGGTACTAACGATGCCATCAGACCCATCAGTAAACAGTTTCAAACCCAGCAACGGCAATGCCAACTGCTGAGTCTTAACTTAAGCCCAGCAACAGGCAGCATCAGAGACATACTCGGAGGTTTGCAGCCAGAATGGGTCAAAGGAAGAGTAGCTATAGGCAAGAAGCGGGTTTAGAGTCCCATGTCACCTGCCCTACTAAGAAGCCAGCGTTGTTTCCCAGATGACTTGTTCGGCATCTTAGCATTCTGGTAGGTTGTGGCTTTTGCTTCCTCACTAAATGAAATGAACATGAACCTGCCTTCACTGGGAGAAGTTTAATTAAAAACCTACCAAACACACCTAAAGTAGTCTACAGGCCCCTATCTCTCAGGGTCTTCACAGCCTAGTTTTTTATTGGGGTTCTGTCACTGAAATCAGAGCTAACTCAGACTTCATAAAGAGAAGCCCAACTGGTCTGTTCACTTGCCTGAAACAATGGATTGTCTGAGGGCTGAAAGATGCCACATGTCAACAGCGAAAATACTGGGGTTTAGTGTGTGTAGTAACCAGAGAGTCTAGGATCTCGAGGCCCTGGGGCTATTTTCAGGATTAGAGAAAAGCTATAAAGCTTTGCTAGAGAAAGAGTCATACCCTTAAAATTGAGCATAAAGGGAAAGGTTTTCTTAGCTCCAAAACCTACCCTAAGATATGGAAAGAGCTGAGCGCTATTTTCCAATCATCAGAATTGTTTATTAACAGGCAGTCGTTGAGCTTTGTACTAGGCACCATGCTAACTATTTTACAGGCATTCATTTATTTCATCCTCAGAACAAATCTTTGAGTTGAGTCTCTATCTAATTTAAAGATATGGAAACTGAGTCTTCAAGAGAGTAAAAACTTACCCGAAGTCATAAGCTATAAAATGAACAAGCTGGCATGTCTTACTCCTAACCAGTGTGCTGGGAAACCAGCAATATATAAAATTATATTTCAAGTTTGTGGGAAGTGTTACAAACTAGATCTTGAATGGATGAGGCTACGGAACTTTCACATCCCTATTTTCTGTAGTATCTTATCTTTCATACAGTGCCATGGTATAGCTATGTGAGGTGGAAATACAGAAAATTTTACTGAATAACAATCTAAAACCAAAATCTTGTTTGTTCTCGATGCAAAGTCAAGCTCCTCATCCTTCTGATTGGAAGATAATATCAGTTGTGATGTCATGTGAAAGAGAAAATCGGAATACTCAGTAATATTTCTGTATGTCTGAACAAGGCAGTATTCCTCCATACATGTATTTCCACTTTACTCCCTCCAAAATACAAATATCTTATTTTCAATGAGATGAGAGTTTTGACGCTACTTGACTATATTCTCTGCCTGTACTTCTGGTAAAAGAAACAAATAGAACAAGGCCCAATCTCAATCACCGGGAACCACCTAGTGTTCAGTTAGCCTTGAGCATCCAATACCACCTGGAGGTGAGTTAGCCATTTTGCTCTGTTTGGGCCCCACCCCTTGTCAACTAATGTGCAGTGTCCCTTCCCACGTGCAGAATTCTTTTCACCAGAGCTTTCAGATCTGCAGCACCAATTCTTCTGAGTTGGAAGTGACGGCTATTTCACACTGTGACTGTGGTACCAATCCACTGCTTGCTGTCTACACTTAACCAGTGAGGCTGTTGGCCCTCCAACTGGGGAAGTTGAAAGTAAATGCATCTATAGTTCATTATACCTGAGTAACTTTGAGCCTAAACACAAAACGTGGCTTTGATTCACAAGAGTTAATAGACAAAAATCTTTTTTGAAGCATCAACTCAGCCATGGTCAATCTGAATAGGCTACGCACTAGTATGCCCTTGTGAAAGGCTTCTGTCAGCCTGCCCTTCCCAGAGCTGAGAGATGCTGTGAGATGCGTCCTGCACATGACAGTGAAGGGACTGGATGCCCTCACACGCAGTCCCAAGACTAGCGCTTATTTGCTTCAACCTCCCATAAAACCTTAGAAAGGGATTCACTAGAAATATTAAAGAACCTCTTTTAGGGTCAATCAGGGATGACTTTTCTAATGGTGTCAGCTTCCAAATAGAAAACCAGGTGTGGATATCTTGAAAGGATCTTGTGGAACTAACTTCATCATAGCTTTGGAAGAGAAGGGAGATTACAGCAAAGTAAAGGGAAATACTGGGACACATATTAGGACAACACAAACTTCATTTCAATCCAGTCTTTTCAGGTGGAGGTGGGATTAAGTTTCCCATTTCTCTCTTGGTCAACATTCTCCATTTTGGAGGCCACAAAGAGGCAGAAGGACAGCTAAGGAGGTTAGATAGAAAAAGAGGAGGGCATCTGTCATGATAGGGCTAGATACACTTCAGAGAAGACAGATTCTGGTGCTCCTAACAGAAGAGATGAGGTCATAGAAGTTCATTTCTTTGGAGATTATGAATTTTGAAAAAGGAACCCCATTCCCATGAAGCCACTGAGCTTAGCCTTTGTGTTATTTTAGGTTTTGTTTTACCTGTGGGTTTGGGTATGATGTGAGAAGAGCTTTTTAGTTTTGTTTTAAGTAACGTCAATCCTTGCACACTCTATGCAAAAATTTTGTAAGCATTGCAATAATGCTATGAATTACAAGGAACTATTTTAACTTTATTACACTTTCTGTATAAAAACAAATTTGTATTTAATATTATTTCAATTGCAGTCTTGTAAAATATATTAATAAAAAATAATGATTGGTAAGAAGGAAATCACCCTTGTCCACTTCTTTAAGGGAACTCCTCTCATGATTAGTCACTCATATTGACTGTCTTAAGAAATTATATTCCAGATTGACTTCTTTTCCACATGTGTGTGATAGGTGGCCTAGCATGCTGGCTAAGCCATTTGAGCTCTCAAGAAGTGATTCACATGGGCTGCCTTATGATAAGAGAGTTTACAATAAGGTAAGCATGCCTAAAGTCTGGGAGTCCTGGGATCTGGAACAGCCATTTCTAATGACCCTTTTAAGTACCCATTCACTGCTCCACTCTCCAAATCTTTGAAGAAGTCAATCTGATTGTTCCCTACTGGTAAAACCCTTCCAAACAGTATTCCTTGTCAGTCCACGGATAAGCCACTTTTGAATCAGGTGCTCAAACCTGGTCCAATCAGTTTCCATCTTCCTCCAAATAGCCCAGCACTCCTCCCTACAGGGAGCCACAGTGAAAGCATGCAAGAAGAAAGATATCACGGCAGAATGTCCTTGACCAACCACCACCCTCAGCCCTTGATAGTGAGCATCTCATCTCCCCCTGCACAGCAGCACGTTATCGCACATCCTATTTATTCAACCTTCCTAGAACACTATCCCATCTAGCACTACCCAACCCCAGAATACCATCTTTCCCCTTCCCATTCACGTGTCACCCATTCTCATGGTCCTCATCATTTTCACTTGATTCCACCATTAATTTATTTTACCTCATTCTACTGCATCTTACCGTGCTACACCTTTTTATCTATCTGAGGCCTTAGGAAACATTCATTTTCAAAGTTTTTTTTAAGGCCCTTTACCCAGATTGATTGTCACAATCATATTAGAGATAATTTTCTCATCTAGCAATTCTAACACAAATTTTCCTTGTCCTGTATATGACAAACCAGTACCCATTTCTAATTGTATTTTTATCAAAGGCTACCTCTCATTATATTTACCTGCTGGCTCCAAAAGTGCAGAATCCTCAAAGCAAAATACTATAATAAAAGTTTCATTTCAAGGCACGGTGCAGTTTTTGGTTAAAGGTGCAGTTTTAAAAAATGAATAAATAAAGCCTTAAGTCAAAGAGAATGAAGTCATTAAACAATCTTGTGGAAATTGTTTAATCTTTGTTCTCTTAAAAAAAAAAAAAAAAAGGGCCAAAACACTGAACACACACTGAAATGAGGCCACAGAGATGGCTCAGGGGTTAAATGTACTGGCTGTTGGCACACAGTAAAGGTGTTGGCAGTGCCCAACATTAGTCCCAGCACTAAGGAGACAGAAGCAGGTGGAGCTCTGTAAGTTCCAGGCCAGCAAGACCCTGTCTCAAAAAGAGAAAAAAAAAAGACAAAGTACTGGCTGTTCTTGCAAAGGACCCAAGTTCTGCTCCCAGCACCCACATAGCGGCTAATTATAGCTTGTAACTGCAGTTCCAGGGGACCAGATTCCCTCTTCTGTCCCCACAGTCATTTTACACTTGCGTACATGTAAGGAAAACACGCATACACATAAAATAATTTAATGGAAACATTTCCCTAATGAGAGGAAAAGGTAGTTACTGAGGAGTAAAATTATTGATCTCATTGTTGATATAAAATTAGAAAGCATAGGGCTGGAGAGATGGCTTAATGGTTAAGAGCACTGACTGGTCTTGCAGAGGACCCAGGTTCTATTCCCAGCAACCACATTGCGGCTACAAACCATGCATAACTCCAGTTCCAGGGGAATCCAACACCCTGTTCTGACCTCCATGGCATTGCACAACACAGGTGAACTCACATGCAGACAGTACACTCTTACACATAAAATTAAAATTCCCAGGACGCCTCCTTGGACCCACAAATACATGCACATACTTGAAATAAATAAATAAATAAATAAATAAATAAATAAATAAATAAATAAATAAATAAATAATAGGGGCTGGAGAGATGGCCCAGCGGTTAGGAACACTGACTGTTCTTGCAGAAGACCTGGTTTCAAATCCCAGCACCCACATGACAGCTAACAACTGTCCGTAATTCCAGTTCCAGGGGACCCGACAGCCTCTTCCATCTTCCACAAGCATTACACAACACGGGTGCACTTACCTACATGCAGGCAATACACGCATACACATAAAATAAAAATAAATAAATTTTTTTAAATTAAAATAATAAATAAGATATACTTTTTTTAAAAAATTAGAATGCATATAGAAACTGAAAGCTTTTTAAAATGGTATATTACTTTTAAGGAAGGGAGTTCTTCAAAGTAACAAATAGATATAAATTAGCAACTTTTAGATTTCTTTCTATCTATACTCCTAAAAGAATGTGAGATTCTGTAACCATTTATTTCTACTTTCTCCAAAGAGTCCAAATAAAGGTGGTAGGAGTGGGAATCAGAATACAGAGAAATAAGTTGAACACATTTCAAAAGAAATTGTGAAAAACAAAATAGAACTTGCATCTCCAGTGAAGGACAATGACAAATTAATTTTAGATTTTGTATGCCAAATTTTAATTACTCTCAACAATACTAAACATTTGGCAATTGAAGATCAATTTACTGCCTCCAGGATCTTTGTTATTCATCAGTAGGAGAGCAGGAGATGAGCCTTTGCATCGCCTGCACAAATAATTAAGCAAATTCATGAATACTTGCAAGATATCAAGGTAACTCTTATTGTGATTTAAAAAAAGGATGGAGCCCATACGTAACATTGGTATCAGGCTTACGAACCTGAGGCTAGACAGGTCACAGGACATATGTGAGAACCTAATAATAGTTTTCTACTTAATAGTTATTGTATTAAACTGACTCTTAATGACATTGTTGTACCCAAAAATTAATGCATCTCTCAACTCTCACTAGAGAAGTTTCCTTATGCAGCAGATGGTGATTAACATAGAAAGCCACAACTGGTCAACATGCAGAGAACAAGAGGCTGCAGAGGGCTTATCTCAGAATAGGACAGCTGTATCGGACTTCTGCCTCCCAAGGCTCAGGGATCACTGTGGAAGAGAAGGCATAAAGATTGTAAGAGCCAGAGGATGTAGATGAACATAAGGAAACAGAATTTTCCAGACAGCTGGTCAACGGCTCATATGAACTCACAACAACGGTGACAGCATGCACAAGGCTGGTACAAGCTCAAACCAGACAAAATCCCAGCACAAACATGGGGAAAAGGGTAAGACACTCCAATCCCACCTAAGGAAATTGTAGCAACAGATGGTTGCTGGGAGGGACAGAGACAGTTTCTTTCAAGCATGAGACTCTTGGAAGGTCAACCAGGCTCCAGTGAAGGATCCACATTGAAGGACATTTGAACACACAAATTAGACTCTCTAGGGCTTATTATGCATAATAGAGCACATTAAATTGAGCGGGGGTGGGGGCTAATAAGGGAATGTGCAAATAGAGGAGGTGATCTAAATACGATCAAATTATATTGTATAAAAATTGAAAAAATTCAATAAACATAAAATAATATTACATAAATTATGAGAATATAATCTTTCAATTGATAGCTCATCTGAGTAGAAAGTAAGCACATGGATATAACAACATTTTGGATAACAGATATTAAAGCAACACTTAACAATCAGTTTTAATCTGTGAGGTCATGTCAAGAACTGTATTATAAACCACAGTAGGCAAAAAAAATCAACTATAAAATGTGAATTAAAGCAAGTTAATATTTAAGAATAGACATTAGGGCTTAAAAAAAAGGGAGTTTGAGGAGAGAGTCAGTTTAACAGTAAATAGTATTAGATCCTTCTTTATTGATTGAGATTAATCCACTAACTACAATCAACAGACAGTTACAACAAACAAAAATCTAAGACTATTAAAAAAATAAGAAGAAAAATTTTAAATATAGTTTTTGGAGGAAATTTTCATCACTTTATCTTGTAACTTTTATAAATTTGCCAGGCATATAACACACACACACACACACACACACACACACACACGCATGCACACACACACATGCACACACACATGAGGTCAATGAGAAACTTTTCTTTGGCTGTCCATGATCCCAAAAATAAATAAATATAACTTCAGGATGTAAAAGTTAAACTACTTGCCAGGCGTGGTGGTGCACACTTTGAATCCCAGCACTTGGGAGGCAGAGGCAGATGGATCTCTGTGAGTTCAAGGCCAGCCTGGTCTACATAGTGAGTTCCAGGACAGCTGGGGCTACAGGAAGACCCTGTCTCAAAAAGACCAAAAAAAAAAAATTAAACTACTTAAATTATATTCTCTCAAAATAGAAACAGATAATATATTCATGCTAATTAGATCCCTGAATTTTAAAGTGAACAATATTCTCCCAACTAATCCACGATTTCAGAAAGCAACCAGCCTACTATAAGAGTGGCAATGAAAAATACCACAACTTATAAAATCTGGTGAAGGCAATCTTCCAACATATAAAAGCTTTTTAAAAAACTTTTACAAAAACTTTGAGAATTTCATATAAGGTGTTTTGATCAAATCCATAAATCCATGCCCACTCCCTCCCCTCCAACATTCCCCCCTCTGAAGAGGTAACCCTAAAATCTTTTAAGGATTATATACAAGCTCCCAAATACTTTTGACATTTTTGGCCTTTGGAACAGAGTATGTTGCTAACAGGCCCAAGGACATTTTGACTTTTAGCCAAGAAACTGGCTACAGTTCTTTGGAGTCGTTTTAC